CAAAAATGTTCTCCGAGGCACCGTTAACGAGTTATTAACGAAAAACAGTGACCAATAAGAATCGAGTACGGCTGACGCGAGGCGGTCCAGCCAAGCAGCGCACAAAGCCCAGTTCCGCTCATTGGCTCGGTCGCCTCGCGCCAGCTGAGCTGGGATTCGTCCGCCTCGACCGCTGGCGCCGTTGGCTCGGCCGCCACGCGCCAACTAAGCTCGCCTCTCATTGGTCACTGTTTTTCGTTGATAACTCGTTAACGGTGCCTCGGAGAACATTTTTGTAAAGGAAAAAGTTGCTTCGAATGACCCGAGGAACCTGCCACTTTCGGATTGCGAGACATTTTTGGGACACCCTGCATATATAATATATACAGTATAATAATGAAACAGTATATATATATAATACCTCACCGAAGCCATTGTCGTCTTAATTACCACATATATCGTTACGATTTTTCCAGGCATTTCCACTGCCTTTCGACGAAGTACCTCTGTCCAGGTGTGCCAGCGGTAATGTCGACCCTTTTGGCGAACATAAACGCATACTACGCCCATACCAGCGCGAGTTCCGCTGTTTCAGCTAGTGATAGATTCGCCGCCAGTAACTTCGGGGTAAGCACACGGGGTCGAGCATCGAAGACTCCGTTTATTCATGGGGGGTAGCGAAAAAGGGACGGAGTGATAGAGGCGTGGCAGCGAGAGAGACAGGTCGAATGAGAGAATAACGGCGAGCGCTGTGATTGAGAAATGCTCCCGCAATTTCCCAGTAGCCTAAACCATCCGTTACTCCTCCGCCGGTTCACGTTGGCTGACCAGGAAACTTTAGAGCACACGTGCTCCCGCGCGCCTCTATCAATTTCATTTCGAAGCTCTCCCTTTGGATCGTCCTTCTTCCGTCTCGGCCTCGTCTCTCTTCCATTCTTCAGCCAAGATTTTTTGATGCTGGAAATTGGAAACAACGGAGGAGGGGAGGGAGAAGGCGATCGCGGGCGCCGCGCCGTCCGAACTAATTAAGATTTTAATTAAGATTTTTTCGCCTGGATCGTAATAGGCCGGTCCCGGGGGATGTCCAGCAATTCTCGACAACGAATCTGCAGACGCAATTGGGCAGATTTAATTAGTTAAATAACAATGCCTGGTGTATCAGGCGTTTCTTGAGAGACACGTTTCAATTCTTGCTCCGTCATCTGTCTGGAAATTTCAATTACGCGGCTGTCTTGCGGCGGTGCTCTTTTAACATTTCGCGATCGAACTTTCTCTCGGCTTGCGGGAACTCGGCTTCCCAAGAATAGGACAGCTTTCTTATTTTAGTAGACCCGGATGACGCCCGCTTCCTCTGTTTTGCCGTGCCACTTAGAACGCGAACAACATTGGAAGGCCGACCGCTTGTTTTTCCTCGGGCGAAGTAATTCGAGTGCAAAGGGTTAATGCAGTCATATAAATTTTACGGGAACGCTGCTTGAGGAGGACGAATTCTGATACTGTTTCCAACGTTCTTGAATTATGCATGACTTTTGGGCGGGGCGGTTTCGTTGGGAGGACGCCCATAAAAAATAGCTGACTTGGTCATTCGCGAAACAAGCTTCAACGAATTCTGAAAGAAACGAACTCCCGGCTATCGCGAACAATTGCATGAAAGAGGAAAAGAAGTAAACCTTGAATTCGTTATTTCTGGAGATGTTGTTCCGTTTGAATCGATGAATGGGGGAAACGAGAATATTCTCCAGTGATGATACTTATCGGCAATTTTAATCGTAAGCTGTTGCCAAAATCCGAATATTTCAGAATTCGTCGTTCTACGAAAAATAGTAGACGCATTGTCTACGGAGATCTGACCAAAGCAGTTGCGAAAAAGAACATTCTTACGTAACTTCTTCCCTCCGGGAAAGAAGGAGCATATTCGGCGTTATCCTTCTTGATAACTTTATTGGGTTCGGCTTATACTTTGCTTTACTACACTTGGCAAATCTTCCTCCAAGGATCCGATGTTTCTACTTCCGTTCGGATTTCCATTACTTTCCTTGATCCCGGCTATCCACACTTTCCCCTTTTACGATCGCCCACGGGAATAGGAAGTGCTGCCGTAGCGTAAACAATGTCTTCTTATACGGCTGCATTATCAACAAAGGTCCGTTACGTCTTGAAATTAAAATGAGATTACCGCCATGAAACATTCAAGTCCCGCCCTTTGGCCCGGCAAAGTGTCGGCGACACGGTTCCTTGAAAAATTGATTCCGGGAGTTCCAGCTTTAAAACAAAGCGACGTCCGTCCTCTTGCATTATGCATTATTATTAATATAACAAATATTCTGACAGGAGTTGTAATCCATTGTTGTATATACAGTAAATTCTCCCGCTCGGATTGTGCACTAAAATTGACAATTTGGGAGGAGGAGACACGATTATTCGAGCGTTGCGGCTCGTTTTTATAGTTGTTGACAATTCGTAACTAGAAAAGGGAGTCGCAAGGCTCGAATAATCGTATCTCTTTTTCCCAAATTGTCCACTTTTGCGCGCAATCTGAGCGTCAGTTAGGGAAACATTACTGTACAGCGAGTTCTCCCCAATTGTCGTTCAGCTTGGAGATGAAACTGGACAACTTGGGAAGAGGGGATACGATTTTTCGAGTCTCGCGGCTCATTTTTATAGTTGTTGATAATCGACGACTATAAAAAAAAAGCGAAAGCTCGAATAATCGTATCCCCTCTTCCCAAGTGGCTCATTTCCATCTCAAATCTGAGCGTCAATAAGTCTCGAATTCTATGAATAAAAAATTGAGAGATATTATGAGTAATCTCTGGTTCTAAAAACATCGGAGAAATGTTATCGATAGGCTGCAAATTTTGCGCTTTTACGCGATCGAGACGAAAATTCAAAGCAACAGAGGAATTTAAGAATATCGAAATATTCGCAGATTATTCGAATGATTAAGAACAAATAGCCATTTGGATCCCAATAGATTGATCGTTACGATTTCTCTCTCGCGTCATGACGATGACGAAGCAAGCCATCGTTCAAAAATTTTCCAGGAGGATAACTAGGATATTAATCTCTCTTTCTCCCGCCTTCTCTCTCTCTCTCTTTCTCTCTCTTTGACAAGGAAATGGTTTCTCGAAAGAAGACGGGCTTGCCGGCCGTCTCGAAGTTTCCATAATTTATGGAAATTCGATAGCCGGGCGAAGTACATTTTTCCCTCCGTTCATGGCCGATTTCTCCGGTTCCAGAAAGAGAAGTTCGTGAAATTACTGGATCAGTTGCACAATTCCCTGCGAATCGACCTGTCGATGTACAGAAACAACTTCCCGGCGTCGAGTCAAGAGAAGCTGATGGATCTGAAGAGCACGGTTGACCTGTTGACCAGCATCACGTTCTTCCGGATGAAGGTCCAGGAATTGTCGAGCCCGCCGAGGGCGAGCACCGTGGTCAAGGACTGCGTGAAGGCTTGCCTACGGTCGACGTACCAGTTCCTCTTCGAGAACTGCTACGACATCTACAACAGAGAGTTCCAGGCGGATCCGAGCGAGCCGAAGAGGGACGCGGAGGACCACGGGCCCCGGCTCGAGTCCCTCGACTTCTGGCACAAGCTGATCGCCTTGATCGTCTCGGTGATCGAAGAGGACAAGAACAGCTACGCGCCGGTCCTGAATCAATTCCCACAGGAGTTGAATATTGGTCAACTGTCAGCGGCCACTATGTGGTCATTGTTCGCGGTGGACATGAAGTACGCGCTGGAGGAGCACGAGCAGCACAGGCTCTGCAAGTCCTCGGCCTACATGAACCTTCACTTCAAGGTCAAGTGGTTGTACACCAACTACGTGAAAGATGTGCCGACGCTCAAGGCAGCCGTGCCGGAATACCCGGCGTGGTTCGAGCCGTTCGTGATGCAATGGCTGAACGAGAACGATGACGTCTCATTAGAATATCTCCATGGTGCCTTCAACAGAGACAAGAAGGATGGAGTGAGTATTGTTTGGTTCTCCTTTACAGGAAATTGGGTCTCCCTCTCGTTTGGCAGCCTGTAGAAGCGTTTTTCAAGCTTCGATCTGAAACGTGTACCCAAAATAGATTCGGTAGATTGTCTTCTACAAGTTTAATTCGACGAACTTCGTTCGCGATAACGTCGACGGGAAAAGATTTTGATTTATACACTGGGATATGCGACTATTTTTTTAGTAATAATCGATAATCACGTAATAGTTCCATTTTTGTTCAGCCTTGAAATGATCAGATGTTTGCCAGCAATACACTTTTTTCAGACGCTCTACTACCGCTGTAACTGTGAAGGAAATTACTATTACTATTCGAGACATACAGGGTGTCCCAAGGGATTTCTGAGGTCATTTCAAGTAACTTTTTCCTCGGCGAAAATGCAATCCGCGGCTTCGTTTACGAGTTATTAACAAAAAATAGTGACCAATGAGAGGCGAGCTCGGCTGGCACGAGATGGCCGAGCCAATGAGCGGAACTGGCTTGCGCCAGGCGAGCCGCCTCGCATTGGTCAGTGTATTTTGTTAATAACTCGTAAACGATGCCTCGGAGACAATTTTTGTAAAGGAAAAAGTTACTTCGAATGGCTTGAGGAACCCCTCATTTCCCGTAAATACCATAATTTTGGGACATCCGGTATGGTTAAAATTTTGAAGACACTTATGACAAAGCACCATGTATTATGAGGACGAAAAATCCATCTAGCGTTATTAATGCAATGATAGCGACGTCAGCTGACTCTAACATAGTACTCGATACAGCCGCTTTTATTAGAAAAGCCGTATAATTAGAACCTGAAACCCGGAAGACCCCTCTGATATTATTTTGTTCGAAAGCTCTGCTGATAATGAATTAATGATAATTACAGTTCCAAAAGAGCAGCGAGCACGCGCTGTTCAGCGTCTCCGTCGTCGACGTCTTCACGCAGTTAACCCAATGCTTCGACGTAGTATCGAAACTAGAGTGTCCGGACCCAGAGATTTGGAAGAGGTACATGAAGAGGTTCGCGAAGACCATCGTGAAAGTGTTGGTCGCGTACGCTGACATCGTGAAGAACGAGTTCCCGAGTCATCTGAAAGAAGAACGAATCGTACGTGACAAAATGATTGGAATCCTTGCAGCATAATCTTAGCATTCGATGACTTCGCTAACCGCGATTAAAACGAACGAACGTTTCTTCCAGGCGTGTATCCTGATGAACAACATCCAGCAACTTCGAGTACAATTGGAGAAGATGTTCGAGTCGATGGGCGGCGAGAAGCTGGAGGAAGACGCGGCGAACATCTTGAAGGAGCTTCAACAACAACTGAACGGATCGCTCGACGACCTGGCGATGCTGTTCGCGAAGAGCCTGGAGCCGAGGATAACGGCCTCGGTGAAAGAGCTAGGGGACTTGTTACTAGCCATCAAGGGCGGCGGGCAAGTGCAATTGTCGCAGCCAGCGCAGAGGAACAACGTCGCGGTGGAAGCGGATGAAGTGCTGCGACCGTTGATGGTTCTTCTCGACGGAAGTCTGTCGTTGTACGCCCAATCTTGCGAAAAGACTGTGCTGAAGAGGCTGCTCAAGGAACTCTGGAAGATCGTCATGAGAATATTGGAGAAGACGGTCGTGCTGCCGCCCATGTCTGACAAGAGCGTACGTTTCCGATACGTTGTCGTTAATAAACGACCCGTCGCGACATTCATACTAATTCTACGATTTCACAGATGATGTTCAAGAATCTGACGGACAACGCCAAGAATCTGGCTGCGAACGCTAAGATAGAGGACATGTCGAAGCTGTTCAAGAACCATATGGTCAGCAAACCGGATATGAAGAACGCTCTCAGCGGTGTAATGGTGAGTGATTCTTTGTTCTTCTACGATCCGAGTTTTGTACATGGCTATAAAATATTTACATACTGTCTGGATATACAGGATGTCCCAAAAATGTCTCGCAATCCGGAAATGGCGGGTTCCTCGGATCATTTGAAGCAGCTTCTTCCTTTACAAAAATTTTCTCCGAGGCATCGTTAACGAGTTATTAACGAAAAGCAGTGACCAATGAAAGGCGAGCTCAGTTGGCGCTAGGCGGCCAAGCCAACAGCGCCAGCGGTCGAGCGGTCGAGTCCCAATTCCGCTGATTGGCTCGGTCGCCTCGCGCCAGCCGAGCTCGCCTCTCATTGGTCACTGTTTTTTGTTAATAACTCGTTAATGGTGCCTCGGAGAAAAATTTTGTAAAGGAAAAAGTTGCTTCAAACGACCCGAGGAACCCACAACTTTCGGATTGCGAGACATTTTTGGGACACCCTATAGATTAATTTAGAATTTAGAATTTACTCGGACGTGTGAAGTACGAGTTCAAAAATCACAATGCATAATCTCCTCGATTACGAAGAAGGAACAACAGAACAACAGAACAAAATACTTGACTCACATTGTGGGAAAAATTACATTTAAAATTGCATTTAAAAAGGGGTTAAATCAGTATGTGTGTTTAAAGTTACATTGAACGACAGAGGTTTGATTACCGATTAACTACCGTTTTGATTAATAGCCTTTTAAAAGTCGAGGATTCGCAAGTGAGGCTTCTTAACATATTCGACAATGATGATAACAATTTTGTACATAAGACGACAAGTTATTTTAGACAACATGGTCTAATAATATGAATTATAATATATATTTAATAGAAGTTTAAGTAGAAATCTTAAATTATAAAAGACTCTCATGTATATTGAAATTTTAGCAGATTTTTAATAGATTGTTATATAAATTTAAATTCGAGTCGATTTTCAACAGAATTTTAGACAGATTGGGATTATTGTTTACGCGAAAATGATTAAACTTCTGTTAGATATCAATTGAGTTCTGGTACCTAAAGTAACAATCGCTTGGTTTTGGTCGAACTGTACTCAATCTAGTCATTTTTGTCCTTTATTTATCCGAGCAATTTATACCCTGAACTGACAATGAAACGTGTTACGTGTCCAGGATATATCCAAGGAAGTAGAAAAGAATTTGTCACCGAAACAGTGCGCTGTACTCGAGGTCGCACTCGACACGATCAAGCAGTACTTCCATGCAGGTGGAAACGGTTTGAAGAAAACGTTCTTGGAGAAGTCGCCGGAGTTGCAGAGCTTGCGGTACGCTCTTAGCTTGTACACGCAAACAACGGACACCCTCATCAAGACTTTCGTAACGTCGCAAGTTAATCAAGGTGAGCCGATTATTAAGTATAAGTTTCTGACTGGTAGGGTTTCTCGGTTCCCAAAAATCGCGTTTAAAAACTAGGATAAGTTTATGTGGATAAGTTAGTGAAATTCGGAAATCGGCTTTTAAGGTTGAAAAAATTGAGTTTATAAGAATTTCATAAATATGTAAAAATTAATAACGTAGACAGTAATGCCTATGAATCGAGCTAACGGCTATTGATCAGATGAACCTAAAAATCTATAAATTGGTTCTGCTATGTTATTCTACGTGATACCACAAACTGACCAATTACAATTCAGTGGTGATTTTATGACGTTGAAATATTTCCTAAAAAAATCAGTAATTGTATTAAAAATAGATACTTCATATCTTGTACGGTTTGCAACCATTTCGTTATATCTCTTTTTACTTTGCATACAATACATTTTCTTTTATCTTATTTTTCTAGTTCCATAAATATTGGATAATGTTTAAAATTGTACGGATTTGAATTATTTTGATATTTTTTGTGCTCACCTATTTTTCCAGAGAGTATACTCTATTTAGCTATATTTGTGTAAATCCATACGTGTACAGGGTGTCTCATCTAACTCGAGCACTTTTTCCAGCTTACTATTAACAATAGGAAAATAGAATTAAATTCTGTCCCTTAAAACGTAATCATGCCTAACGAGATAAGATACTGCATATGTATATACAGGCAAACAAATTTAAGAAAACAAGCATAAGCATTTCTCACTGCTTCAATTATATTTTATTTTTGTTTCGGTAAAAATTCGAAACCCGGTTTATTCCAAAATTCGTGTTTCTATAAACCTTACCAATTAGTATTTTCGTATATGTCTATATTTCTGTCTACACCGATGGGTTGATACGATTACTATAGCATCATGAACTCTCACAAAATATCCTATTTAGGTACCACATGTACCGAAATAATTTCAGTTCTTTAGTGCGGTACACCAAAATTTTCGATGCTATTAAATCAAATGCATGTCGGGTTTCCTTTCCGTGTAAACGGAATAAAATACATCACCGTGATTCTATCAAAATTAATCATCAATTTAATTCTCTATAAAAACTGCCGGCATACACACTCGTTCTACAGGGTGTCCCATAATTATGTGAACACCCGGAAATGGCTGATTCCCGAGGTCATTTGAAGTAACTTTTTCCTTAGCGAAAATGTTCTACGAGGCTTTGTTTACGAGTTATCAACGAAAAACAATGACCAATGAGAGGCAAAATTAGCTGGCGCGTGGCGGCCGAGCCAATCAGAGGAACTAGGCTTCGGCCGCTCGTTGGCTCGGCCGCCAGCCGAGCTCGCCTCTCATTGGCCACTGTTTTTCCTTAATAACTCGTGAACAAAGCCTCGTAGAACATTTTCGCTAAGGAAAAAGTTGCTCCAAACGACCNGACAAATATATGAAATCAAAATTGGAATATCAAAATGCACGTTCTTCCTGTACTTTTACGTGCGTGAACACTTGTAGGCTTTTAGTCTCTGTAAACGAAGGAATTTGTTCTCGTTCACTTTTCTATTTTTCGTCCATTAGAATGTAAAAAGCTTCTAAGAAGAATTTCGTTTTATATAAAAAAATATTCAGGGCCTGAGAATTCGTAGTGATCGTTTCGTATATATGGATATACAGCGGGTCCCATAATTATGTAACAGTCAGGAAAGGGGTAATAGCTGAGATCATTTGAAGTAACTTTTTCCTTAGCGGAAATGCAATCCGCCGCTTCGTTAAGGAGTTATTAACGAAAAACGCGGACCAATCGGAGAGCGAGTGAAGCCGGTGCCCCGCCCTCGCGGCCAATGCCGCGTTGCGCCGGCCGTCTGACGCAGCGGCAGCGGTTGCGAGGGCGGGGCGTCAGTCTTTTTCGTTAATAACTCGTGAACAAAGCCTCGTAGAACATTTTCGCTAAGGAAAAAGTTGCTCCAAACGACCTCTGGAATCACCTTTTTCCGAGCGTTAGCATAATTACGGGGCACCGTGTACATATGTGAAAACATTCGCGGACCATTTTACCACACGCATTGATCGCTACCGGACACTCGCGCGAGTTTCGCCGACGCACGTTCGCATAACTGACCAAAAATCCAACCGACGTAAACGTGAATTGTCGCGACAGTGCCGCTGAACAATGCGTCAAAGCTACGTCAGCGTCAGCGTTCGATGAGCAGCGAGAGAGGCGGTGACGAAGGGGAAGGCGCCGAGGGTATGGAAAGCCTCGAGGAACCCCTTCGCCAGAACAAGCCCTCTCTTCGCCGAGAGAGTCGACAAGGTACCAGAGTGCACTACTCTTAGAGCAGAAGCCTCGGAACAACTTCTTGGCTGACTTTCGGTCACTTTCGACATCTAGGCGCTCGTTTAGGACGTAGTGGACTGTTCGTTATTGCATTACTCACCGAGGTGTCTCATAGGGACTACAGAGTTCTCCTCCGTTCTTTTATACTTCTATTGTTACTACCTAATATATAATACATACCATCATTGTTCACATGATTACACACGTTCGGTGTATCATTTCTTTTCTATTAAATCGCTCGACGCGTTGGCTGCCGGACAAGACACTTCCCTCACCGGTGACATGAACCCCGTCTTCGCTGATCTTCTGCAATCGTTCCCTTTTTTATTGACCCTCGCGCAGCAGCTCCGAACGACGATGAAAGTCTTCGTGGTTACTTACATCGAATACAAAGAAACCGTTCGAAAATTGTTACTGTTATGTTGAAACATTATTTTTGCACATTATTAAAATTATTAAAACGTGTTAAAATAAATGATGCAAGTGGATCGATAACTTACGTGTTTCAATATTTAAGTTTTAATTGCAGCAATGCAATGTTTTAATAGCCAGCTCAGAGCGTAATTTAAAAAATATGTGAAAGCTTGACGAATTAAATTTTGAACGGACCTATTAAATGACTATCATAAGATCGTCGAAGGCGTCGGTATGTATTCACGCTTGTGACCATGAACACCTTCATCTTAAGAATGTTCATACACGAGCATATGCAATTTCGAGAAAAAATGCAAATTTCCCTTAAAAAATGCAATTTCCCTAAAAATGCGAATAATCGTACGTCCTGCAGTTTCAAATAAGACTTTCATCAAGAATTCTGGTTTACGTTTCGGTATTAATACCTCGCGAAGTTGATCATTCGATGAGTCTTCCCAGACACGAACTCATGTCACCGAGTCCAAACGTGTTGTCCTAAGCATAAACTATGCGTGGCGGCCACCGCGGGGACCCTTTCGATGTTACGACAGCTTGTAAGAGTTTACTAAAACAATATAGCGCGCGAAGCAAACGCTTAAGACCTTGATCGGCGCGTTCGAACCTAAGTCGCTCCGCTGCAGCGCGCTGGTAGCATAAGCTAAGCTTCCCGTACACGCATCGAAATCAACTGGCTGTAGTCATAAGTAGACTGCGGATTTTTGTGCAGCTGAAACGCGCTCGAGTGTTCCACTCGAGTATCAAAAATGAAGTGAAATTCGATCAAAAGTGAAATTACGCAAGACAGAGGTATGCGTTTATCTAGAAGCAGCCATATAAATATCTCTTCGGTTACGACGATGTATCAAATACCTTATACCAAGATCAATCGTTCATGGATGTTCTATCCGTGTGTCGATTACGTGAAATATGCGAGGTATGTGCAATTCGCGTAAGAATCCGCAGTCTACTGTTAAGAGATCGCCTATAGTATGGCCTGCGAAGAGCTACTTTGAACCGCCAGTCGAGTTCGATCTGATTATGGTCGTGCCATCGAAAGTGTCGAAACCATGTCCCGAATGTGATCGTCTCGGTGATCGATAGTTGTATTAGGTAGCGCTGCTGCTGTCACTACTGCCGCTGCTACTGCTACTATGGAGAACCTTGCCAAAAAAATCACAGTGCGCATCCTTCAGTCATCTTCTTCAAGGCTTTCATAGACACACGTTCACGTACACACGGATATGAGTTTTCTCGAACCGATCACCGCCAGTTTAGCGTGACACGCTGTCCAACGGACCAGCTCCAGCAACCGTGTACACACGCTGGCCCCGCGTCCCGTCTCGGCGACGCGTTCGTTCGAAGAACACGCCTAAACTTTAGAGAAACCCGATATGCCGTCGACGACAGCGTACCTGCGGCATCACCACGGGAACCGTGCGCGCTCGCCACCGAGGACCACGATCCGAGATTCACGGCAGGCTTGGTCAAGGGTCGCCGTCCAATTACCCTAGTTTCGAGATCGTTCCGCATTCCATGGAAGATACAACGATCCGATTGTTGATCGCTTTCGAAAGGATCGTTTTCTGATCGTTATATTATCGCTCGTATTGATCCAAGACTGCATTCTCCTCCGCTGAGTACTTACTCTATATATACGACAACGTTTCATGCATACCGTTAGAGCATGTAATCTGCTCTAGACATAGACACCCAAATAGAGAATCTTAGCATCGAATTTTTGAACTCTAGCGTCGGATAGAAACGACCGAAGCTATATATCTTTCTATTTTCGTAGCACCTAGACGCTCGACCGGGTCCCCTGGGCGAACACGGAATCTAATTATCGTTTATGAAGTTCCAGATACCGCCGGTTCGGACGAAGGTTCCGTGGGCGAAGTCAGCATCCAAGTGGATCTATTCACGCATCCCGGAACCGGCGAACAGAAGGTCACCGTGAAAGGTACGATTCGTTTCTTTGCGAATTATTATCGTGTTCGCGACTTCGAGCAGAATTACAGTCATTTCTTCTTAATTGGGGATCAAATTGCGCGCAAAGATGGACGATTTGGGAAGAGGAGGCACGATTGATCGTAGCCTCGCGGCTCGTTTTTATAGTTGTTGACGATCGATAGCTATAAAAACGAGATGCAAGGCTCGGATACTAGTATCTCCTATTCCCAAATATTATCCACTTTTGTGCACAACCCAAGAGAAATTACTGTACAGTAAATTCTCTCTAATTGACGCTCAGCTAGGAAACGAAAATAGGCAATTTAAGAAGAAAAGGCACGATTAATCGAGCCTTGCGGCTCATTTTTATAGTTGCCGACGATCGGTAACTATAAAAGCGAGTTGCCAGCCTTGAATACTCGCATCTCCTATTCCCAAATTGTCCATCTTTGTTTCCAAGCTGAGCATCAATTAAGGAGAATTTACCATATTCGTCGATTTCATTATCCGATAAACCGTGTTTATTCGATCAGCTGTTCGATTAAAAACTATCGATACTGTTGCTTAACGATATCTATTTGGCCCCCGATGACCGGTGGCTATGGAAGTTATGCTATGACACCTGTTATCACCGAGTCCTGCATTTCAGTTGTCGCTGCGAACGATTTGAAGTGGCAGCTCGCCACGGGCATGTTCAGGCCGTACGTCGAGGTGAACCTAATCGGACCGCACCTGACTGGAAAGAAGAGGAAACAGTCGACGAAGTCGAAGAGCAATAACTGGTCGCCGCAATTCAACGAGAGCTTCGATTTGTAAGTGCAAGATGCGATGAGATTTCAGTGGCGAAAGGGTTTGCTGTACAGGCGCCGAATTCATCGATTTTCGAGTAAAATTAGTTCATCGAAATATTTTTAATAACGAAACAATATTAACGTAACAATTGCGACAATCCGGGAATCATCGATTACGTTCATCGAATGCTCGCGATTCGAACGATCAGCTGTCGTATTTCTTTCAAGAGTAAAAATAGATAGAAATAGTTTCGTGTCGCACTTTGCTGAAAAAACTTAGAATAAACAGCGATGGAAGGCGAACTTTGTGCGCAAACCCAGCAGTCGAATCTCTAGGCATATACAATAATGTCTCTCTAATTGACGCTCGGATTGTCCAGAAAAATGGACAATTCGGGAAGAGAAGATACGATTGTTCGAGCCTTTTGGCTGGTTGTTATAGTTATTGGCAATCGGTAACTATGAAAACGAGCCAAAAGGCTCGAACAATCGCATCTCCTCTTCCCAAATTGTCCATTTTTCTGGACAATCCGAGCAGTCAGTTAGAGAGACGTTACTGTATCTCAGCAAACACGTGACACGTTCGTTTCGTTGTCCAGCATGATCGGCAACGAGCAACAGCAGCTGGACTTCTACGAGCTGCACATCTGCGTGAAGGACTACTGTTTCGCCAGAGAGGACAGGCTGGTCGGTGTCGCGGTGATGCAGCTGAAGGACATCGTCGAGGAGGGTTCGTGCGCCTGCTGGCTGTCGCTCGGCAAACGTATACAGATGGACGAGACGGGCTGGACGATCCTGAGGATCCTGTCGCAGAGGAACAACGACGAGATCGCGAAGGAGTTCGTGAAGCTGAAGAGCGACATCAGGCAAGAGACGCCGCTGCCGAACCCCACCTGAAGCTCGGACACCCAATGCTAAAGCCGACAGCGAAGCGATGCGTCCTTCGAGTTTGGAAAGAGCTCGGAGGTGTGAAGGAGGGAGCATTTGTCCACGGGAGGGAGGACGAGAAGCGTTCGGCCGTCGTTGTCGAGACCATCGAGATCGGGAATCGTCGTTGTCGTCGTGTCGACGAGCAACAAACGGGAGAACAGCAACACGCAATCGAGAACAACACAGCGCGGTACACAGAGGCACGCGTGCGTGCGCGCGCGCGAGGAGAAGCAAACGGATTCGCCGATGAGAGGGTGAAAAAGCCGCGAAAACAGCGACTCGATCAGCGGGGGAGACATCTTCCTTCCGATATCCCGCGCAGCCAGCTTCCGGTCGAGCGTGTTCTTCTCTCTTTTTTTTACGAATCACAGAGCTTTAGTCCCGTCCCTAAGTAAAAAAAATAAATAAACAAAAAAAAACATACAAACAAAAGAATCGATCGTAACAGAGAGGACAACGGATCCTTCCGGAGGACCGTTCTCCGACGGATAATATCGTATAAACGCGCTGAATATCAGGTACCGAGTCGCAAACGTTCGTCCATTGGGTAAACAAACACGGGATACAAAAGAGAGGGTACTTTCGACGGCGGTTCAAAGCGACAGGATGCGAGTTAAGAAGCCCAGGATTGGTGAACACGGAGTAACACACCGGACTCTTAATCGATTAAGTGCCGCGAAGATGGAGAATACGACGCCTCAGGTATTGGAGAGTGTTCCGTATAGACGCGAAACGTGAAAACAGTGCTGCCAGTACGCAATATAGTTGGTAATATTCGTAATGTAAGGAGGGGAGGAGAACGAGGAGACGAAAGTGGAGATGGAGGAGGAGGAGGAGGAGGAGGAAGAGGGGTGGGAGTTGGAGAGTCGAACGATAGGCATAAAAATGCGTCGAACGCGATCATACCTCGACGTCCACGGATTCCCAAATGAAACGTCAGCCGCGTCCGACGTTCGACGATCACGAAGAGTGGAAGAGGATCGTAGGTTTTCGGGGTCCGAGATAGCGGGAACGGCGAGCGAACCGACGCAAAAAATAAGAAACGGGACGCGACGCGACATCGGGGTCGCGTTCCGGACAATGGGAGCGGGAAAATCGCGCCGCAGCAACGAGGCGAATGTAAAACGCATAATAATTAAAAATCTAGACCCTCGTGCGAGACGACGTTTTAGGCCGTTTGTTCGGGAAGACGAGTTTACTTGTAGATAAACACGTGAGAAACACATTGTTGACGAAGAAGTTTTTTCTAATAACAAGTTTAAACGTAGCATTGCGTACGACCAATAGGCGCGCCGCGACGTCACTCGCGGCGGGCCGTTAGTAATAAATAGGCATTGTAATGTAAAATACGTTCTTATCGTAAGGATTTAACAAGAGATCGTAAGAGTCTGATTGCTGTGGTGAATGGCGAGCGAGGTCCGTTCGAACGCTTCGAGCACGCTCCTCGAATCATCCCCGGTCCCGACTCGATCGCCTCTCACGCGAGATACGAAGCAACAGAGAAACCGAACGAACACACACGCACACATACACGTACACGTACACATCGCTCCACCCGGTTCACCCTCGATTCCCCGATCGACGTACAACATTCTGTACAGATTTAGTCGCGAAGCGCGGAGAGCTGCGGCGCTCGATCGACGCCAGGGACCGTGTCCCCGAATCATCGACCAGAACTTTTTCGAAATTAAACTTTATATCGTTGTAGCTCTATAGTACTTAAATATTCATAATAACTTCGACACTCTCCCGACGACCATTGCTTTTTGTGTGAGCCAAATATATACACGAGGAGGTGGAACGCAAGCTTCGAAAACAAAAAAAATAACGACGAACGTTAATACTTCTCTGTCTATTCGCTTGATATCTCATCGATATTACTCTTGTATATAGATCGAGGGTCATCGTTTCGCGGACAGAGTTCGTTGGGCCACGATCGAGTCCGCGCGGCTCTCGTACAGGAACCCGGGAGCCCCGGGAGTCGCGGATAAAGGGAGTCGAGGGTGAACGCGCAGAATGGTCCCCGAAATATCCGTCACAGCGCGGACAGTCCAACAGGATTCGACGGGCTCCGGCGACGCAACGTTCGTCGCTGTCCTTGCTTCCGAAGCTTCGACCGGATCTCCAGAGAAAACTATCGAAAACTAGAAAAAAGAGGAAACTAATAATAACACAATGATGCACGCGACTTTGAACCTAATGAATTTCATTCACCGGCCCTCGCGGCCCGGCCAGATATACAATTCCAGAGATTACATGATTATATCCAAAAAAGTTTCTACTACGTAGTACGTCTAGATATACTTACGTATTGTGTATAGTGTCTAAACGCTGATCTAGCTGCGAGCGCGGGATTTTCGTTTGGAGAGGAACAGCGGGAGAGCGTAAAAGATTCGGAGAGGAAGAGTGTTTAAAAAAAAAAGGAAGCGAGAGAGAGCGAGAGAGAGAGAGGGAGAGAAAGATAGAGCCACCCACAGGGAAACAGCGTTCGGCCATCTTAGATAGACAAGGTGCTTTCCACATCCGGATGCGTGGATCTACACGCGACACAGGTCAGGCGCAGGACTTTCGCGTAGTACGATTTCATTTACGCTCGCGTAATTATCCCCGTGTTGTACGACGCGCACACTTTTTCGAAATTCTCTCTAAAAACACGTAAAACCTCCCCCCACCCCGAGTATCATGCGTCCCTCTGCGCCCTCATCATGGAATATCGTAGAACAGAATAGAGACACCAAAAGGGTTTTTAACTTCTTTCGTTCGTGAAAACGCGTCTAGCGCGACACTCCTCGACGCAGTTAGAGAATCCTTAGATCTAAAAAAGAAAAAAGTGCCCAGATCTGTGCCGTTCGAAATTCGCTCGAAACGTGTTCCGGCTCGGTTCGTCGTCGACGCCCGTGGAACGTCGTCGGTCCGCGGGGCGCGGTGACCGAGGCGGGACGCGGTTCTCCGAGCTCGGGGCCATTCACGCGTTGCCAAGAGGAAACAACAACAGCCGTCACCGACGTAAACGAATAAGAAAAATGGAACAACCGGGCTGAAAGGGAATGGTAGATGAAAGAAAGGAAGAAGAGGAAGGGAAGAGAGAAAGAAAGAAAGATACACGGGTCCGCGATCTCGCCATCATATTCATTTGTAAAAGTGTCTATTTTCTCCGCTGCCTAAGTACATACTAATTACGAAGAGAAAGGTCCGGCGAATTCGGCGCCCAGAACCAAGTCCGTCGACGAAATGGAAACGGCCTTTTATGTTTCACGCTGGTAGCGTCGAATTTCCAGGTCACTCGGCAATTGCGCCTCGTAGACGGGGTTGACCGCCATTTTTTCCTCCTACTCTCCGCTTCGATTAATATCTCGTAAGCTTAATGAAAAAAAAAAATATCTCGTGTATTCTGTGATAATTACCCCTTAAAGTACACAACACAATGAACATGCATACGTACACACGTACACGCACGCACACAATTCAATACATACATACAAACATACACACACGTACACGTGTTTCACGTACATTCGCATCACGCAACGTGGGAAGAGGAACATTTACGAGGGACATTCGCATTTCTTGCAGGACTAAAACGTGTGTCGGAACGACAAAATCCGAGACAAAAGTATACACGACCGGAAACAAAAAAAACACGCTCGGGGAAAAACAGAACAGAAATATACCTTGTTATACGGTGGAAAATCGCTCATACAAACCGACACACCGAACAAAACGCATGTACGTGATCACACCGATCCCAATAGCAACAGTATTTTTCTCTTTTAAAAGACATTTCGATTTCTATTCTCTATACTCGTTAAACGTCCGAAGAGTCTCGTCGGTGTGTGATAAAAACGTGCGAACGACTCCGCTGAAACGGTCGTCGCGATGGTGCGCCGAAATCACGGTGTTCGCGACCAACGGCCGCGTACGGTGATCGAACGAGGACAGTATGGTTGTACCGATACGAAACGGGGAAGCAAAAGTGCATTCGCGCGGGCAACGAATCCACGGGTAGACGAAGAGGATCTAGGCGAGCCACGAGGGATTTGAGAGAACGACGAAGCGTCCGTCGCTGTGTCGATTGAAAGTAAATTATTTCGCCCAAATTCATGCAGAGTCGCATCGGTTCACGCGTGGTCACGCGATCGTACAAAACAAAACCAAAGGAACATGGGGGATACCTCTTGTCGTAGCAAACTTTATCATTTAACACGGAAACGTTGCTCGGAACAATATTTTTACATTGAGATTTAACCCCGGACGGGACCCGCGCCTGCTTTCGTTCTTGTTTAAAGTCCTGGAACGTCGCGAACTATAATTTCGAGGGTGGTTGCGTCGTCGACGTTAATATCGCGTGCGCGTGTCTAGAGGTTTTAACGGTAATGCGACAGCTTTCGGTCGATACGTTTCGCAGTTTCGGGTGTTTCTTTCTTTTTCAATTGGAGGACGGTACGGTCCCCGAAGGGTTAAACGCGCCGACAATGATCATCGTTAGTTCACGATCGACGAAGCATGCCCACGGATCATTCGAGTACACGTCCGAAACGGTAGAACGCATCTTCCTAAAATCGCATATCCATTGGTCTCGTTGCACGAATCGATCCATTGTTCTCCAAAAAGCACCGAATTTCCATGAAGAACAAAAGCAAGGCGCGTACAGTGAAATAGGGTCAAGCGTTGGGGTTGTTTTTGTTCGACGAGAGCGCGGGCTGTCACCGCGAGCTTTTGCGTCCGGCACGCCGACACGAGCGCAGAACCAAAGAAAAGGGTGAAATTCCGAGCGTTGGATATATTGTACATCGCAGCTGTGTCGGAGAGGGAGCACGAAACCGGAGAAACGATTTAACAAAGATATAGAAAAAGAAGGAAGGATGAGAATAGAAAAGGAACGAACGAGCGACGCGAAAGAGAACGAGCGAAACAAGGCGAGGAGGGAAAACGAAGGACAAATATATACACAACCGTTGACAATACTATGCTTGAAGAATCGTACGACGCGTATATAATGTACCTAACAAATATATTAAAAGGAAAAAAAAAATATGACGGAATGTTTGTGTTTCGTAAGTAAAAAAAAAAAAAGCATATTAAGAAGTACATTTGTAATCATGCGACGAAGAAACACATTTGCAGCAAAAGGAGAGAAAAAAAAAGAACAAACAATAAAACTAAAAAAGGATCGCGTAATTCTGTGCGTACATATGCGGATGACTGCGTGTTTACTAGGTAATTATAAATCGTAACGAGTGAGGAGTACATTTTCGTCATCCACACGGAAACAGTGTGTGCCACCGTTGTTATCAAAATTTTTCACGCGTAAACAAACCAGCGAACGGGGAGTAAACGGGGAGTAAACGGGGAGTAAACATTAACGGCACATCGTTGCGCAGCCTCCGAGTATAGGTGAACCTAACAAAAATATAAAAAAAAGCAATTGTATCCGAGTCAAACACGCACATTCAACACAAAAAAAAAGACGGAATAATATCTACGATACCGAATACCCAGGTCTTTATTAATAAATGTTTCACTTTCGTTCGTTCACTCACACGAGGAGCTTATTCTCTGAGCCGCTTGTACGATTGAAACCACCATCGTCATCAAACCCCTGCCTACCCCCCCCCCCAAAAAAAGAAAACCATTGGAACGCCTCTCGTTGATCGATCGACACCCATCATTATCAAGCGCGTTTCGCCGGATTTTCGGTTCTCCCATTCGCGTTCCCTGCGACATTTGATCGATCCCCCGAGGTTTCTGGCTGGATTGGTCGCGATCTCGATTCGATTAAAATTCATCGTCGTCCGTCTACGTGCATAAGCGCTTCCTCGAATTCAATGGGTCCGCAATCAATCGCGCCGCGTTATACATATATATATTCGCCATCGTTCGGTAGATTTTGCAATTCATCTTCGCGGATCATCTCGACCGGTTTTCTTTTCACGATTCTCCGATAACCGAGAGACGATGTATCTCTCTCTGTCTTGAATTATTTCACGGCAATCGACCGTCTTCGGAATACACAGGGGGGTAATTTCGTTTCCGCGCGACGCGTAGGAGGCTAACAAAACAGGGTTCGATCGATAAGCCGGGAAAACGCGCGCGACGTGACACAGTGTGAGCGAACGAAGGAGAGGGATAATTTGGTGGCAGAGCCGTTGACGAGCATACGCTACTATTATCGGCAGCAGTGTCTCTATCGAACAGGTGTGCGAAGCAACCAGGAGGAGTATATGATGAGAGAGAGAGAGAGAGAGAGAGAGAGAGAATCTCGCGCGAAATGGAGACAGGCAAACGGGGGAAGTCGATCAGAGATTTCTCGTCGTTGAATCATTGTGCCATGTACCATATCATTGTGTCGGAAGGAGAACGCTCGAATATCATTACTACCACGAATTACTAGATAGAATCTTAAGTCCGCGACTACGTGTTGCACCAACGTGTTTGCCGCATGAACCGAGCACGCGTCGCTTGCCATTCGAGAGTCACCGCCGTTCGAACGAACGGCAACCGGACGCGTAGAATTTCGATTCTAACACGTCGCTGGTAAGTCGAACGGAGGTCGGGGTTGAATCCGTGATGGGACCGGGGCTGTCTTCGGCCCTCTCCGCCCCTAGGTAGCGTTTAGCTCTCGGCGTCACCATCGGAGATCGGTCTTGGATTTTGGCCAGCGTCGCTCGTCGACGTCGCAAACTTGTTTCCTTCGTTTCGCGGTGTGCCTCTGGACTGGCTGCTCGACTGGCAATCGACACGGTGAAAGGGGAAAAAACGATACTAATACAGCTACGCAATTGTTGTCGGCATTGTTTTATCATTGTCCCCGCCTTTGTCACGATCGCCGTCATTGTTGTCATTGTAATTAAAGGCATGGGTGTTCTTCGTCGCGCCGGCGTCAAACGAAGCATCCGTTTATTGCCGTCGATCACCAGTTCTAGAATTTGTCGTTTCCTTTCCGGTCGTTCGTCTTCTTTTCGCATCGAACAGTTACGCGCACGTGTAAGATATTATTGCATTCGAAACTTGTATCCGCAGACTATATTGCACATACGATTGCACATACTATATATATATGTATATGTATATATATTATATGAATATTATATATATATATATGTATACATACATATTATATATATATACATATATATACGACGAGTGTACATATAACATGATCATATATTACATTTGCGGCCCGATGTTGCCTGGTGTTTTAGCAAATAGAGCGAGATATGCGCAATCCAGGCTAAAAAGTCTTTATAATTTGCAGTGGGCTCTGTTTAATGAACAGGGGAAACTTAACGGGAAGGCGAAGCAGCAACGAAAAACACTTTTACTTTTCCTTTCTTTTCCAAGACACGTGTCATCGGATCACGACGGTTTCTGCATTCAGTATGTATCCGTGTACCCGCCTTCGTGTGTCCGTCAGTTATAATAATGCTGCGTGCTGTAATCAATCGTGCCCATTCCATCTTTCATTTTTAGTTCTCGATTAAGCCAGAGAAACTACACGATAGGAAATATTTTGCATCCTTTCCGTTCGCGAGATATCATGTAAAGCGAAAACATAGCCAGAAAGACATGGCGCTCGTTACGTGGAGAGAATGTTACTCGTCCTCCTTTTGTAATCGTTAACGAATTTCAGCATCCGACAACGCCGTTACTCGTTGTATGTCGCGGTGACACGATGGTGGCGTGACACGTACAACACTCCTTTTGGCTAAAACGTTCATCGTGGTACCCTCCCGATCCACCGAAGCAATGTACGCGGCACGCTTTGCTTGGTACACTGAAAAGAAAGAAAGATAATGTAAAATTGATCCGTTCGCGTACTCCTGTACACGCGACCATCGTGTCCCCACGAAATCTAGATAAATAACCGAACGACGGTAGCGCAATTATCTCGACGAGGTATATAAAATATACATTCTGATGTGAAAACGATTTCGGTTTGCATTGGTTCATTATCCGTTGTCCGTTCGCACAGTTTTCTCGTTCCTCATTTGCGTAAATGTACCATATCCAAAGGGTGCTCTTAAATGGACAGCGGAACAAAAAGCGTATGCGATATAAGATGGTAAATATTAAGAGATAAAGAAAGGATGGCTTTCTTATTGGAATGGGCTGCCTCAGGGGAAGGTGATCCAAGGACTCTAATAAATCATCAAAATCTATCAGCCCACGATTACTTTATTTACACGTCCTCTTATCCTGTACCTACAATTAATGCATAGATATCGATCGAAACCGCATAGATATTCGAAGCATTATATGTCATCCGCTGGTGGACAAAACCGATAAAACTGTGTCGATCTATACTAAAAGAGGTCAAAATTTTGTAACAAAGCGTAATATAGTTGTTGGAAGCTGATGTTGAAAATAATGAGAAAAATAAATGATATCGTGTCCGATACCGCCGAAGGAACTCTAAGACCAAACTAATTTGAATATACATGAAAGTAATTCATACGTACTTCGTACTTTTGTTATAACTTCTAATAACACTTTTATAAGATGCATATCGGTATATTTTAATTTCACCCCGAAATGTACAACGGTTACTTCTTATATATATATGTATATATATGTACTATTTAACTCATTTACATCTTAACTAAATACGACATTAATCCTTCGAAGAAAGGCATTTCTATCGATGGTACACAAAACGCTACTGTCCTTCATTTGCTTGCGCTGCCAATGCCTTGTCAATATACATCTGCAATAAATATAAAATCAGTTAATGTTAATACTAGAAAATGTTCTATAATATGTTTTTACTTTTTAGGTTATACATCATTTTCATTGTGTACAAACTAGTTAACAAATACATGCAAAAACAAATATTGTACGAGATATTATATACAATTACATACATATTATAGAATACATTTGATACGATATAGAAAAAAATTTGAAAATGTACCTGTCCTCTGTCGTTTACTTTCTTCTGAAGTATTGGGTAGTGGAACCAAGAAATATATTTGTCTGGCTCTATTAGAGATCTATAGAAAAATATCGCATAAGCGGAAAGAGCGAAGATTATATGAAATCGGTGCGATTCCGCCATGATACCGGATTTATGTTATTTATAAGTTACTCGGAATAAGTAGAGCAATAATATAATGACGGATCAGTAATCGTCGCAGACTTTATAAAACATCCAATTATCGTATGCTACTAGAACCAATGCTACCAAATCGATAAAATGTACTAAAATGTCGCCAGGTTAGTAATTTTACAACAAAATATATACTTCGGAAAAGATTGTAGATTTTATTTAAAAGCTCTGGAAGCTGTTTCTTGTTAAACTAGCAAGGCGGATCAACTTAATTAAGTATTACTGCCTTTTTCCTTAAGCCAATAAAAGAAATGAATTATCCTAATAAAGCGTTGATTCGTTAACGGTCATCTCTTTCTGTTGGAACTCGACGATGATTAGTGGTAGAGCCATATCGATACGAGAGCACGTCTATTTTCATATTATCTAAATTGATTTGGTTTTATATTAAAATAATCAACGTTATTTCAAGTTTAATATTACATTTGCCTCCGATCTCTATTGGTAATGCTGTGTTAACTATAACACTTTTGTAGCTACGTTCACGCGGTTGTGTAACATCGTGTTTTAGATTTGTATGTCGTAATAATGTTCACGTTTATGATTCGTTCCCTTTTAGGGACAATCAAATTTATAAAATAATAGAGGATTTTTAATTGATAAAGTGCTTAAAGCAAATATACACGGTAAGAAAGTCTTACAGAAAAAGGATCATAATTTCTTTTCGCTAAATCTCAAGTAATATATAAGATATATTTATAATTACATGAAACAATGAGAGAATCGCGCTAACAGTTCATATATATACATACATAGATCGAAAATGTAACCGTAGAAACTAGAATTTGCAGGCATTTATATTAGGGGGTATAGTATTCTTTGGCGTGTACGTATTATGAATAACACGAGTACGTGCAACGGATTGATAGTTTTATTCTCTAAAAGAAATTGTATTGCAAAAATGTACCTCCAGATGGCAGTAGTAGTACATAAGAAAGCATACGATGCAGGAAAACAACGTCAGTCGATCGTTGACTGCGACCGCAGGAGGACAGTACGGTCGGCAGTCGCACGCTACCTCAACACCTCTCGGGATTGGTCGACTCTTCTCCCGTAAGCCCCGCCTACCAGGTGGTCGTTCGAAAGTGTAGTTGTGTAGTTCCTTACGGCAAAACGTCGGGCGCTGTGCTCTCACCAATCGCGAGAAAAATCTGAAATGAAACGTGTCGGCGCGCTAATATGTGACGGTTGAGAAGAACCGAGGACCAGGAACGTGTGAGAGGGTGGTTTACGCGCGGGTGCTACCACTTTCGGAGCGTGACGAGAAGAACGAACCGCGTAAAGAAGTGACAAAGGTGGAGGAGAGCGTGAATTCAAAAGAAAAGGAAAAATCTACGTCGAAGGAAAACCCGAAGAGACGCGTGTGTGCTAGAGCTATACGGGGCCAGTGCGAGAGAATCCTCTGTTTCGGGGGGGGGTTCTATGTCTCTTTTTCTCTCTTCTCTGTCTCTCTCTACCTTCTTTTTTTCTCTCTTCCCTCTTCTGTATCTCTCTACGTCTTTTTACACGTTTTGTTACACGGGTGGAAGAAATACCGCCGCGACAAGTGTTATCGCGTCGACGTAGCATGAGCCGTTCCGTATTGCATCGTTAAAAAAAGTAAAAAGGTAACGGAAAGGAGGAAAGGAAAAAAAAGTGCTTCGTTTAACCAACAAGGACGTCGTCAGCTGTGTGCGCTTTTACGAGGGGGACGTGTGCGAGAGAGAACCCGCTGCTGAGAGACAGAGAAATGGCGGCGCTGGTGGCAGGTGTCCAGTATGGGTTGTCGTCGCATAGTAATTTTCACGAAAACAAGTCCCTGATCTTCGTGAAGCTCACCGACTCGGCGCAGCGTGCCATCGACGACTTCCTCAAGAATCGGGTAAGTGAATCCTAATGGGACTTCCATACGTTTCGTCTCGGTCACTTTTCCTTATGTATAGGCTAGGATCCCGAGCTTGTGGATCTCCGCGTGCGTATAGGCGTGTACGTACGCGACTCTCTACACGTCGTCGTCACGAAATGGTGAGCGCGCGCACGCGCGCTCCTTCTCGTGTGCGTGTCTCTGCTGCCTCTCTGTGTGCGCGTACATGTGTCGTAATGTCGTGCCAAGGAAAGAGAGACACCCGATCGTCAACTTGCTCGCCATATTTCGCGTGGAATTTCGTTGCTCGCGAACGCATCCGTTCGAATTATCTCGACCGCACGCCGAAAACTATCCGCGAGCCTTATTTATTCGTGACCGATCGTTGAAAAGTGTTACGTCGTCGTTGTCGAGAAACCAGCACGAATAAGATCGTAGATGGAACGCATACGAGGCCACGTTGGCTCGTTAGCAGCTGGTTAGAGTGGCCGCACAGTTTTTCTTCCGTTGCCGCGCGGCACGGCTAACAGAAAAATTGAACGCGTTTCAATCCGAAATGATCGCGAGTGCCCTTTTCGCGAACTTGACTCGCTCGACTGCATCGCTTCGGTGTATCCGTATGGTTTGACAACGACATTACGTAATAAGAGGACTGACAAGGCAGTTAGCTTGTTAGTTCGACTTACGGACCGCTCTGAAATCGAATCGAATCGAATCGAAAACGCCTGGCATTTCTCCGTCCCGATACGAATAGCACACATGCGACATCCACCGAATAAATTCCTCTATGAAACGGGAATATTTTCTCCCGTTCGCGTTGCATGGAAATACACGAATCATCCTCTGTTAGCTTTTAGAATCGCATATTTCTGTAGTCGAGTTTCCTAAACTGCCAGCCTCTACCCTTTTCTTTCCGTTATCCTCCGATGTAGACAGTATTTAACCCTTTGCACTCGAGCAGTGACTCTGATGCACCATTAAAATTGTTATATCACGTTCCAAGATAATTGTTATATTATCAAAGTTTAGATTTTAAACATTACCGAAAGCGTAACCGTTCTATGAATCACGAGACTCAATTTCGTACGCGTTAAATTGTGCTTTGTCTTGTAAAATGAAAGTACTATAAGTCAGAAAAATGTTTTTAGATTTACACGCTTTAAAATTTTTAGATTTCGAGTGCAAACGGTTAAAGCTATTTGGCGCAGTTTATCCCTGCAAATCCTTCGAAATCATACGAAATGATTATGTTTCCCCACCATCGGCGCAGTGGCCCGGAAAGCTGTAATTTGTGGCCAAAATTAAAGATGTTTTTACATCGACTTGATCCTAATAAAAGTCTAACTTCTAACATATAATTTGATTGTTTATCGCAAATTATCGGATGAAAGACAAGGTTACGATTCAATATCAAGTATCTCTTAAACAAATTGTTGTCTTATCACAGAATAATCAATGATAACGTTTATATCTATACGGTGCTACCTGAAAAGAAAATGGAAAAAACCAGTACTTGCAAATAAGTTGTTGTCCCGCATTTAACTACAACAATTTAAATTACTATTATATGTGTTATATTATATGTTATACATGTAGAATTTTGAATGGAAACTATTATAGTCTCGTCGTAAAGTCGTAGTCGAAAAATTGAATTTTGATCACATATTTGCGCTTTTTGGAACACGGTATTGGAACTGGCATGGCTGTAAATGCTGAACGAATTCCGTAGTTAAACTGTTTTAACACCAAACCTACCAAGCAAGAATACTAACTGACATGCACCGCTTCACAAAAGTGAGAAGACCGAATTTATTTAGATTTTGTAAAGTTTTTATTATAAAACTTGCTCCAATAATATAACTTATTCAAGCGTTTCCCACGAAAGAGTCTCGGAGCTTTGCAGAATTGCCAAATACGTTTGTTTAACACTAAACCAACCAAGCAGTAATACTAACTGGCGTGTACCGCTTCGCAAAAGTGAGAAGACCGAATTTATTTAGATTTTGTAAAGTTTTTATTATAAAACTTGCTTTAATAATATAACTTATTCAAGCGTTTTCCACGAAAGAGTCTCGGAACTTTGCAGAATTGCAAAATAAGAAAGCGGCCACTTTGACCGCGGTAGGTTTAGTGTGAAGAACCATTTCGACTATCGAACGTTCAGTATCCGTCAAGTAAGACACGATTTCCAAACGTAAGTTTGAAAATCGTGTGCACGATTTCTGGATCGGAAACAGATCCGCTGGCATTGCTTGGTAAGTTAGCACGGGCTCGACAGCCGGACCGTGGGCTTTGTCTAGAAAATCGACGCGATCCACGATCGCCGGAATTCTTGCACCACCTGGTTTATCCTAACCTCTCGGACGAGATTCGAAAGTAGTCGTGTCGAAGGGGCGTGCCTTTCGTCAAAATATCGGCGCTAAAACCGACCGCGTAGCGCATGCAACGCTTCGGCGCCGCATGTGTTGTCGTCCAGAGAAACGCGTGCACGAAGCAATATCGCATAAAAACGCGCAAACGAAAAAGCGAACGACACCGAGAGGGAGTGAGAGAGAAACGGAGTACACGAAATCTCTCGGTGAAGGAACAAAAAAGAAAATATGTTGGAAATATCTGCACACGAGTTTCGCATGGGTCACCGCTTATCGTCCGCCTCTCGCCCCCCCCTCCCCCCTTCTGCCCGTGTCCGAGAACGTGCTGCTCGCGACATCGGCTCGATTCGTGAAGCTTCAAAAATAACCGACGCCGCTTCGTCCAGTCCAGGAAATTTCACGACCGACCCGTCGTTGTCAAACCAGAACTACGAAATTTCCCTTTCTATACGATGGGCTTTCGAGCGATTCGTCCACTGGTTGAACGGCCTTGTCATCTTGTTATCCAGGGATTGCAAAGTTTCCGAAAAGAACTGCTTCAAACTGTTTATACATCGGTTTCCATTTCTCATGGAAACAGNAAAATTGTTATATCACGTTCCAAGATAATTGTTATATTATCAAAGTTTAGATTTTAAACATTACCGAAAGCGTAACCGTTCTATGAATCACGAGACTCAATTTCGTACGCGTTAAATTGTGCTTTGTCTTGTAAAATGAAAGTACTATAAGTCAGAAAAATGTTTTTAGATTTACACGCTTTAAAATTTTTAGATTTCGAGTGCAAACGGTTAAAGCTATTTGGCGCAGTTTATCCCTGCAAATCCTTCGAAATCATACGAAATGATTATGTTTCCCCACCATCGGCGCAGTGGCCCGGAAAGCTGTAATTTGTGGCCAAAATTAAAGATGTTTTTACATCGACTTGATCCTAATAAAAGTCTAACTTCTAACATATAATTTGATTGTTTATCGCAAATTATCGGATGAAAGACAAGGTTACGATTCAATATCAAGTATCTCTTAAACAAATTGTTGTCTTATCACAGAATAATCAATGATAACGTTTATATCTATACGGTGCTACCTGAAAAGAAAATGGAAAAAACCAGTACTTGCAAATAAGTTGTTGTCCCGCATTTAACTACAACAATTTAAATTACTATTATATGTGTTATATTATATGTTATACATGTAGAATTTTGAATGGAAACTATTATAGTCTCGTCGTAAAGTCGTAGTCGAAAAATTGAATTTTGATCACATATTTGCGCTTTTTGGAACACGGTATTGGAACTGGCATGGCTGTAAATGCTGAACGAATTCCGTAGTTAAACTGTTTTAACACCAAACCTACCAAGCAAGAATACTAACTGACATGCACCGCTTCACAAAAGTGAGAAGACCGAATTTATTTAGATTTTGTAAAGTTTTTATTATAAAACTTGCTCCAATAATATAACTTATTCAAGCGTTTCCCACGAAAGAGTCTCGGAGCTTTGCAGAATTGCCAAATACGTTTGTTTAACACTAAACCAACCAAGCAGTAATACTAACTGGCGTGTACCGCTTCGCAAAAGTGAGAAGACCGAATTTATTTAGATTTTGTAAAGTTTTTATTATAAAACTTGCTTTAATAATATAACTTATTCAAGCGTTTTCCACGAAAGAGTCTCGGAACTTTGCAGAATTGCAAAATAAGAAAGCGGCCACTTTGACCGCGGTAGGTTTAGTGTGAAGAACCATTTCGACTATCGAACGTTCAGTATCCGTCAAGTAAGACACGATTTCCAAACGTAAGTTTGAAAATCGTGTGCACGATTTCTGGATCGGAAACAGATCCGCTGGCATTGCTTGGTAAGTTAGCACGGGCTCGACAGCCGGACCGTGGGCTTTGTCTAGAAAATCGACGCGATCCACGATCGCCGGAATTCTTGCACCACCTGGTTTATCCTAACCTCTCGGACGAGATTCGAAAGTAGTCGTGTCGAAGGGGCGTGCCTTTCGTCAAAATATCGGCGCTAAAACCGACCGCGTAGCGCATGCAACGCTTCGGCGCCGCATGTGTTGTCGTCCAGAGAAACGCGTGCACGAAGCAATATCGCATAAAAACGCGCAAACGAAAAAGCGAACGACACCGAGAGGGAGTGAGAGAGAAACGGAGTACACGAAATCTCTCGGTGAAGGAACAAAAAAGAAAATATGTTGGAAATATCTGCACACGAGTTTCGCATGGGTCACCGCTTATCGTCCGCCTCTCGCCCCCCCCTCCCCCCTTCTGCCCGTGTCCGAGAACGTGCTGCTCGCGACATCGGCTCGATTCGTGAAGCTTCAAAAATAACCGACGCCGCTTCGTCCAGTCCAGGAAATTTCACGACCGACCCGTCGTTGTCAAACCAGAACTACGAAATTTCCCTTTCTATACGATGGGCTTTCGAGCGATTCGTCCACTGGTTGAACGGCCTTGTCATCTTGTTATCCAGGGATTGCAAAGTTTCCGAAAAGAACTGCTTCAAACTGTTTATACATCGGTTTCCATTTCTCATGGAAACAGTAATAAAAAACCGACAAGATTTCATAAGGAAAATACGTTGCAAAATCATTTCTGCGTTATCGTGAAATGCACTAATTGTAAGCATATGAAAT